CACGGCAGCCAGCCAGCCATATGGACATATATAAAAGTAAACACTAAGAAAAATCATCAATTAAACCTCTATTTTTAAAGAATGTAGAAGAATTGTCAACTCACTTTTAACTTTGATGTCTTTTCATGAAGCAGCAGCATCTCTTTCCTTATATTCACTAACTTGGTATGATAGTGTTTAGCTTCAGTGAACTTAACATGGAAAAGTAAATGAAAATCCCGTTAAAACAGACAGCAATATCAGAATGAATAAGTAAATTCTGAAAAACAGTTCTTTATTCCTAAATTGGTTTTTAAAAACCTTAATTATCTCCGTATTTTAATTCTAAAATATAATTTCATTTAAACTATTAGCAGAATCTTTTTAAATCCTAATAAAAACCTGGTTCAGATGAATTTTTTTTAAGTTGCTGACCACAGAATAGACACATATGTTATATTGTCTACATACATTTTAGTTTAAAAACCTGTAATCTAATTCTAAAAATTCAGTATGAGTACCCAATAATGCTATCAGTTCCCTTCAAGAAAAGCAAAACACTTCTACTGTCTTTACAAAGAGAGACCAAGCCAGGATTTAGTGGGCAGTTTAAGGGCTAGTCTCTGCTCACTAGGAAAAACCAAGCTGTGTCCAGAGAGGCCTGAGAGGGCAGTGACCCAATCCTAAATACATTCCTTGGGATTCTGAAGCCAGACCACACAGAACAATCTTTGTGAGGACACTTCTCTTTCCAAGGAGTTCTAAATATGGACTTTACATCTCAGCCAATATCCACGGCCTAAAGTAAAGTCCTACATCAGGGCAAGATGGGAGGATGATGCTGATACAGATAAGTAGAAAGGAAACAAAAAATTACCTCAACCTCAGACAAGGTAATGAAGAGAGAAAAAAAATGAGAGAACTTTTGGTAGAGAGATGAACAACCGTAATGTGGCTACAAGTCATAGTTGGATGAACTCTAAAGCTTACAGACCCTCTTTATATCTCTCTGGGCCTTCTAGCTTTCCATTCCTAGCTGATAATCAAAACCACTCTTGGGCTGAGAAAAGAAAGATGAGGAAGACTTAGTTCCTGCTCCTTCATAATGAATAAACAACATTACATTCTATTTGGTTCATCCATTCAATACTTGTTTAATGGACAAATATTTGTTCTGCTACAATGAACTCAGTGGGGAAAACAAACGTAGATCAGTGTAGCCTCATCCACCTTCTTCACGTGAAGTCAGCTACCACTGAGTAGAAAGGCTTCGTATATATTACCACAAGTCAAGCCTGTGTAGACAAAATGGATTTTGTTTTGATTGTTATACAATGAATACGTTCCTAGCCCACATTTACTTAATAAAAGGTGTTCCTGTGTGGCACCAACAGTTAAGCAATTGATTACTAGCTGAAAGGTGGGTGATTTGAATTTGCCTTGCAGAGGCCACCTGAGAAGAAAGGCCTAGGAATCTGCTTCTGAAAGGTTACAGCCTTGAAAACCCTATGGAAAAAGTCGACTCTGCACACATGAGGTCACCAGGAGACAGGTCAACTCAGCAATAAATAACAACAATAACACTTTTTTTAGGTATATGTGAATATCCCCCAAATCATGCAAAACAAGCTATTTCTAAGGTTCAAGGAGGAGAAGAAAGGTAGTCACAAGTTCTTTATTTTTTTTAATATCCTGTGTCTTAAAACAAAAAGTATAAATTCTTCCTACCAGCAAACTATACAGCTTTCCATGCTACATTATGGATGGCTTCAAGACACTATGCTGAGTGAATTCAGTCAATCACAAAAGGACAAATACTGGATGACCTCAATTATATAAAAAGACGAGAACAGACAAATATGTAGAAACCAAAGTCTAAACAAGGGGCTGGAGAGGAAAGGAGAGTTACTGTTTATGGAATGCTGACTTCCAATATATGTTATTGTTGTTGTTAGGTGCCATCAAGT